ATGGCACTGACACCCAGAGAGTTGCAGATTTTCAGTGACATTTTGGTGGCCTCTACGGAATGTTGGTGCCGACCTGCGCCCATGAGCATTTGGATATGCACACATAGTGAATTACTTATAAATGAATATATTTGTAAAACCGTAAATGAGCTAGTATTCACATAAAAGAAATGGGTATGCAGAAACGATGGATAGAGGCCAGGGGAAATGAGGAAATTCATCGATAACCCGAACTGAAGAAGGTACAATGGCTAATTGAAGTGACAAAAATCCATCGGCAGTTTAGTCGTGCACCGAAACACGGCACATACACAAGCCACATCTGCCTGCATGTGCAAAAAAGGACTGCCGACAGAATGAGCTCGAGCAGGTACGGTAGACAGTGCCGCTGCTGTTGCCGTCCTACAAATTCTGGCTGCGCAAGCATCCTATGTGTCCTGTACTTTTGCCATTTGGACATTATTTTTTACTTGCACCTAACATTTAAACCATGTCTGCCAAACGCACAAGCAGCGTCTCACTCAAGAACAGTCCAGGCAAGCGCCTGAGAGGGGGCGATGCGAGTAAAGCACTCAGTCACTCATCGGTGCCGTCAGCGCCAAACGACAACACGTTGCAAAGCAGCAGCAGCAATAGTAAGTACTGGAAATATCTTCGTACGTTTTTAACCAAAAGAGCATGTCTACTAACACAACACTTGACAAATAGGCAGCAATCGAGGTCAAGGGAAGAGACAGCATCGTCGTCACCGGCAGACCGGGCTCCTGCAAAGGCCTCTGGATATAGACCAACTGCAGAATCGCTTCTTAACCAAAAAAGAGATCCAGGCAGAGCGCGAGGAGCTTGCCGAGAGTGTTGTCTCTGGCCAACTCATCGAGGGTACCGACCAAATCCACACTATCATAGCTCCGAGGGGAGAGGCGGGCAGTGTTTCTTCATCCATAGCCGACATTATCTACCTCGAGCTGGAACATTTGCTGGACTCCAATGCAGATGGTTCCGATGCGAACAGCATACTCACTCACACTATGAACCTGTTGCGCAAGAGCACCAAAGACGAAAGCCTGCGCTCGTGTCGACTTCGAACCAGAGGGTATAAGGCTAAAAGGAGGGAGTTCCTCGAAAGTCTGCGAGGAATCCTGGAGGAGCTGCAGGTGTGGGTCCGCCACCACAACAAGGGCAAGGCCGGCGGCAAGAAAGAAACGAAGTTGTACACCCCCTTCCAGTCCTTCGTTCACTTTGTCGCCCCATTTGTCAAGTTCCTCTTTGACAAACTTGGTCTCGATACGCTTTTCCCTTCTGTCGTTCATCAGCGCTGCATCATCTGCTATCCGAAGACGAACAGAAAGCCCCTATGTGGCGACGACGACCGCAAGATTGACATCGGGTTGACCACCTGTCGACCTGGCGATTTGGAAGAGCAGCTGCCTGATATGTCCTATGCAGATATATTCGCCATTGTCGAGGCAAAGTACTCAAACACCCGCAAGGACAAGAATGACGCATACAAGCAGCTTGTGGACTACTCGCGCCACATGTATGCTGCCCAGCCTGATCGCCGCTTTATTCTAGGACAGACCTTCTGTGGAACCGAGGTGCGGGCCTGCTTGTTCTCAAACGACTGCATATTTGCAAGCAACCTTATGGACGTATCAACAAGCGCAGGTCGTCGGGAGTACATTGGGCTGCTGGTGAACCTCTCGCTGTGCGACAAAAATCAGCTGGGGTATGATCCGACGATGACCTGGGATAGAGAGCACGAGTACTGGACCATCGAGTGCCCTGACACCCCAGGTGAGTCGTCAGGCAGCCAGGCAACAAAAACGTACTACTTCAGAGATGAAGTTGCCAAAGCTGATAGCCTTTTCGGTCGGCACACGAGGTGCTTTTTGGCAACAGATGAGGACCCTGCTGGTGACAGAATCAAGCCCAAGTTTGTTGTGAAGGATGCATGGCCGGAGGTTCTACAGGACCATGACGACACGCGGGACGAGGTGATGTTTATGCGCAGAATCACAGAGGAACTTGCGAGCTCAGATGTCGAGGACCTGGTCTATCCAAGACTCGAAGCCGGTGGTCGTGTTTCGTTCGATACTGACGGGGGCCGATTTGAGGACAACACGAGAAATGCACTGGGACCGCTTTACTCGCTGCGCAAGCCAGACAACACAGCAATACCGTTCCGCGTCCATAAGCGCCTAGTTATGTCTCCGATTGGTGAACCACTGGAAACCGTCGAGTCTGTCCACGAGCTTATCGTTGTACTAGGCGATGCGATGCGCTGCCACACCGAGGTGCTGCGGCGGTGCAATATCCTCCACCGTGACATCTCAGACAATAACATCCTTGTCGTGCGTGAGGAGGGCAAACCAGTACGTGGGCTATTGGTGGATTTCGATAATGCCCTGGATCTGGAAAAGGATAATGGCGAAACTCGTACTGTTCAGTCAGGATCTCATATCTATAGGAGCATCAGCAGCCTGTCAGGATCTGATGTGGAGCGGACAGAACTGGAAGATTGGGAGTCACTACTATATCTACTATGTCACTGTGCAACGGTCGGTATTGGTGAGAGATATCAGCGATCGCCAGAAGAAACGAAGAAGTTGTCCATTATAAAATGGCGCACAGAAGATGCTGAAGGTGCTGGAGATGTAAAAAAGTCTTGTCTCTATTGTATTCAGGATTTTGAGCAGAGGATTGTTCGCAGGTTCAACCAGGCCCAGCCCGATATCGAATATTTGCAAAGGCTTGCAAGAGGACTGTACATGGGCTTGTTCAATAACCAAACTCTAAACAGCCCTCGGTACAAGGGGACAGGCCGTGCGACAGTTGAAGGAGAGCCTGAGGGTGTTAATCCATTTGCAGAACGGATAAGTGTGAAGTACACGATTGTTTCGGACTTGCTTGAGGTCATGGAAAAAGCCTGGAGGGACTCGATGATGGTGGTTAAAGCACTGGCGGATTCAGATGCTGGAGTTTTTCTATAATTTTCTATTAAATTGCATATTTATTATTTTTCACACTACATTGAAACTCAGGTACTGAGGACTAGAGTATAGTTAAAGCATGTGCCATTATCGCAGCTTACAGTAGTATATATCACATTGATGGCACACAATACCTCAATGCCGATAGGTGGCTCGCTCACCTGGTTAACTTAACCTTTGCTGATTTGAGTGTCAAGAGCAATGAATATTGTTGGAGAGAGTATGCGTAGCTCAAGTTTGTCGATTGCAGCCAATGTCTCGCTAGTAATAGTACAGCATTCCTCATCATCAGCCACATTTCGGGTGACAGATGCCTAGCTGAATCAGATTCGATTTGCTCAAGCAGTATAAACAGCTTGATCTTAATGACAACAATGGCATAGCACCAAAGCAAAGACCACACTGGTAGACACACCTGCTCAAAGAGCTTAGTTGAACTGTAGACTGTTGACGGCCTCTTGATCTCGCTTATTTGACCTCCCAGCTTTACATTTTCTGCATTTTCTCTAATTACTTCATTTGTAATGAGCAGCAAGCAAATTCCCGCACAGCAACAGCAGGTACTCGAGGTGCACACTTGTGGCTCCATAGTCTGCATCGGCACCAAGCGGCCGCTTTCGGACCCCGACCAGCCAGGCATCGACCTGCAAATATACCCACCCAAGAGGGTGTGCACTTCTCGTGTGAGTGACACCAGCAAAACGCTCAACCCCAGCACCAAGAGAAAGTTCACAGATGATGACGATTCGCTCGATGATGACAGACCATCGCCTGCCAAAAAGACACGCACATATGGTGACGCGGAAGGTATGTAGGACATTCGCATTGTTGAAGCAGTAGGTGTACTGACCCCTCAGATACTAACCACACGATACATGACATTGTAGATGACTCGTTGGTGTTGCGCACCCGGATTATTGCCCGCAAAACTGACAGCCAATTATGCGCAAAGAAGCGCCAGGCCACAAGAAACAAGACTGTGGGCAGACGAGTAAGCGCTCACACCAAGCGGAGTATTCAGGCACTACTGGTGTGCCCTATCAACATTTCGTCACCGAAAAGTACGGGGCAGGCTCAGGATTCGACTGGAGGTAGGTGTATGCTAGTCGTAGTTATGCCTATACCAAGAACACCGTACTAAAGTGAGCTGCTATTTTTTGTCACTGTAGTCGTACTATCAGCAGCAAGAGTTCTGTCTGCCACTGAAGTGACTTCCAAGGCAGAATGCTCTATCGCCAAAAAGAAAAATGGCCGATGATGAGGATTCGTCTGATGATGAAGGACCATCGCCTCCTAAAAAGGCACACACTTCAAGCGATTTGGATGGTAAGACATTGTTGTCACTAGCATGGCATGTGCGTTTGCTTTTTAGATACTAATCAACACAGTATAAAACTCAATAGCCGGATCGCTGGTGTTGCGTACTCGGATTGTTTCCAGGAAGGATGTCAGCCAAATACGCACAAGGAAGCGCCAGGCCACAAGAAAAAGGGTTGTGGACAGACGAGCAAGCGCCCACACCAAGCAGAATATTCAGGCACTACTCTCACATCCTATCGACATACCATCGCTGGCAAGCTCGGAGCAGATTCCGACTTCAACTGGAGGTAAGCCTATGCTTGTGGTAAATGTGATGGCATCGAGAACACTGAATTAAAATGAACCACCACCTATTTTCCATCGTAGTCGTACCATTAGCAACAGGAGCTCAGCCCGCTGCTCAAACGACTGATCAGCCGGTAAGCTCTGGCGTCAAGATGCATCAGACAGACAAAAATCTGGTGAAGAACAACAGGCCATCGCCAGCAAAAAACGGCGCAGGCAGCGGTTTCAAGTGAAGGTAAGGATATGGTGTACATCATTAGTAGGAAAGGAGAGTGGTAGTGTCGGATACTAATCGACCTATATATGGAAGTGTAGGCGAGTCTTCAATACCTAGCTCCCGATTATCTGCCAAAAAGGCTAGCAGCCAGTCGCGCAAAAAGAAGCATTTAGCAGCCAAAACTAAAGGCACTGACACGCAGCCCAGAATTCGCACCAGACAGAGTGCTCATGCACAAGTTTCAAGCTCAGGCAATAAATTGCTGTCGCCAATTAACTCACACACCTCAAGTCAACCAAAAGGTAAGCACATGGCTGTCGTCTTTGCAAGTACATGGCTGTCTACTATACGATGACCAGCTAACATTTACAGAACAATGTAGAATGGTCTCCAGAGTCCAGCAAGATTAGAACCGCTGCCACGTTGAACGGGTCTTCCAGTTCCACAGTATCCTCAGCACCGAGTATGGCATCATATACAGCGGAATCCTCGCTTGATAGCAGGTGGTGTAGTGATGACGGCGACGACGATGACGAGACAGACACCGAGGCAGACATGTGGGTCAAGACGCGGCTCATCAGAGATGCAGATGCAGTGCTCGACATCGCAAAACCGCGGAGTGCTGCCGGGAGAGTGCTTGCCAGCAACATTTCCAAGCACATCTCAGCCGAGCTGGAGCATCGGCTCAACACAGCTAGCACATACGCAATAGCTGACACCAGCAAAACCCAGTCAGCTTTGGAAGCGCCCATGCAAAACAACAGCTATCGACAGCTGCTGTTCTCCGATACAGCATCTGCCATGAGCAAGGATGAGCGCAGTGCAGCCACGGCCAATGTATTTGCAGGGTTTCAGGAGTGGATTGCACCCGAGTCGATACAGCATCAGCCTATTGGAGCACCATCTACACCACCAGACAATACCTGTGGTGACAATATGGACGATGCTAAACAGATACACACATCCGTGCAGTCATTCATTTATTTCGTCGCACAGCAGATCGACAGCTTCATTAGCGCATTGGGTGCAGATGCGCTTGGGGAGCATCGCACATATCGCCGCCTTCTACCATGCATGAATCAAGAGTGCCATCCCAGCAACACAGGCAATGCTCCAACCATCGAAGCAGGCATCACTACACAACACAGAGACAGCAGTATCGAGCTGCTCAACAACTTCTGCTATGCTGACGCATTCGCTGTCATCGAGGCACGACCAGGCAAAACTCGGCGCATCGTTGACAAGGCATATGCGCAGCTGATGAAAAGCACACGCAGCATCTATAAGGCTCAGTTCGACCGGCGCTTTGCTTTTGGCTTGACCGTCTGCGACAATGAGGTGCGGGTGTGTCTATTTTCCAACGATGTGGTCTTCTCATCCAGCGCTCTTGACATGTCCACTGGCATTTGGTCGCCAACAATTCATCGAGCTGCTAGTTTACTGGTCTCTCTGCCGATGACGACCAGTTGGGATTCGACACAACAATCCACTGGGACAAGGATAACAACTGCGGGACCATCGAGTGTCCTGACACAGCAGACGAGTCATCATGCTCTGCAGCCACAAAAACGTACTACTTTGACAAGGTGCTACCAGGAGCAGACAGCCTTTTCGGTCGGCACACGAGGTGCTTTTTTGGTGACAGACGAGAGGCCTTCTGGCGACGAAATCAAGCCCAAGTTTTCTTTGAAGGACACATGGCCGGAAGCCACAGAGGACCCCACCAGAGACAGACGAGACGAGGTGATGTTTATGCGCCGAATCACAGAGGAACTTGCGAACTCAGATGTCGAGGACCTGGTCTATCCAAAGCTCGAAGCCGGTGGTCGTGTCTCGATAGATACTGACGGGGGCCGATTTGAGGACAACACGAAAAATGCACTGGGCCCGCTCTACTCACTGCGCAAGCCAGACAATGCGGCAATTCCGTTCCGCGTCCATAAGCGTCTGGTTATGTCACCGATTGGTGAACCACTGGAAACCGTCGAGTCTGTCCACGAGCTCATTGTTGTGCTAGGCGATGCGATGCGCTGCCACTCAGAAGTGCTGCGACGGTGCAACATCCTCCACCGCGACATTTCAGACAACAATATCCTTGTCGTGCGTGAGGAAGGCAAACAACCTCGCGGACTACTGATAGATTTCGACTGCGCAGTGGATGTAAGTGAGCACCAGGCGCCGAACCCAGAGAATGTGGGGACATTCCCCTACAGGAGCATCAACAATCTGTTTGGATCAAATGTGGAGCGGACAGAGTTGGACGACTGGGAGTCGCTATTCTACCTACTTTGTCACTGTGCAACGGTCGGTATTGGTGAGAGATATCGGCGATCACCGGAAGAGATGAAGAAGTTGTCCATTATAACATGGCATATTTGGGATTCTGAAACTGCTGGAGATGTAAAAAAGTCTCGTCTCTGCTGTGTTCAGGATTTTGAGCAGAGGATTGTTCGCAGGTTCAACCAAGCCCAGCCCGATATCGAATATTTGCAAAGGCTTGCAAGAGGACTGTACATGGGCTTGTTCGATAACCGAGCTCTAAAAAATCCTCGGTATTGGGGACGTTCACGCGAAGTATTGGAAGAATGTCCGAACCAAGTATCCCCTCCAAGGAGCGGGTGAAGATAAAGAATAGCGCTGCTGATACCCTGCTGACGACGATGAGTGCTGCCTATATAAAATCAGCTAGTGTCCTTTCCGCATCTATACAATAAATGTTTTATTACCGTCACTTGTCGCCGCTGTCTGCTACAAGGCGTGTCTGTTGCTCAAAGGGCTGTAGCCGTTAGGTGCAGTGGGCTACATGGTGACGAGCACCTGGCGCATATGGAAGCAATATAGTTTTATGACTAAATTTGTTTTGTATTCTGGGGAAATCCCCGCCATAACGGCACCACATTTGCCTGGGGGTATACTCGCCGATCGCCCCAGCCTGGAAGCTGCAGAAACCTTATCGATCTTTTGCCGTACTCTTGGCAAGCCCGTCACTCTCTGCCCCATGTTGCTTGGAGGGATTAGGTGCGCGGCTTGCGGGAGAGTTAGCCCGGGAATCGACCAGTCGATAAGGACACGGGTTTTTGGTCAATGCGGCTAGAGCATACCCAACAATGCCACACGCCAAGGGAGTGTCGCGCTTCTACCAAAGCTGGACGTGACAACAGGTCGTGCGGCAACATCAATTTATTTAAAAACATCTGACTGAGTTTGGTTAGGCGGAAGTGGTCGGCAAGCAGTGCATGGCCCTAGCCAGGCCGCCTTGGGTAATGTTGAAGATCCCTTCTTTCACCAGGGCTTCAACAATCACTTGTTGCTGAGCCACGGTGCAGATGCTCGAAAAGATGTTGACCTCGGAGCAAACGTTTCCATACTTCATTTTGCGAAGCTTGAAGATGCTGTTGCAGTCGACGAAGCCGGCGACCTCATTCCTTTCTTTGATGATTGTGTCAATTGCAGCAGCACGCCTGAATGCAGCACGAGCCTTTTTCGTAAAGCCGTCCCAGCTATCAACAAAATTGACCTCATTGAACAAAAAGTACTTGAGCAGAGGAGGTGAATGTGAAAGCAAAAACGTGTGCTTGGCAGTGCTGTCCGCATGAGGGTCCTTCAAGCCCGAAGCAATAAACTCGTTGATGTAGCCATCCGGGCTGTGGGCAAACTTGACTAGGTCAAAATCTACACTAGGCTGGATACTCTTCACGGTGTTCACAGCTGGCGCGTTCGTGTGCGGTAAAGCACACAGGACAGCTTGGGCCTGTGACCCGTCCTTCTCAACCGGATACTCACCGTTCAAAACCGACGTGTACAGGGCGATAGCCTCGTCGAGGTATGGAACAAATTCTCAGTCAGCGCAGCTACTGAGGCAATAGCCAAATGATGCTGAGATATCTGCTCCTGCATGCGGTTGATGTTCTCTGGCGTTAGCGGCGTTATCATTTGCTCTGAAATGAGCTTACTGACCAGCTCGCCTTGTGCGAGACCCCAGCTCGGTCTTGCAGGCACCGTCGAATGAGGCCCTCATTTCTTGAAGGAGCTCAAGGAAGCGGTTGGCGTGGCCAGAATGGACAGGCGCAACCAGGGCCGGCGGCTGAGGAGGACTGACATGGACAATGTCGTCGACGTCATCGGCAATGTCGAGACGGTCATCGACGTGAAGAGGGGAGGGAGAGGGGAATACATCTGGGGAAAACACCACCATTTTCAATGACGAGTACCTGCACAAAAAGAACGAGTAGACAGTGGGAGGAAAGTTTTCTGTTTGTGGTGAACGCTGAGAAATGAAGGGCTGGTCTTCGGGCGAGACAGCTGTCGCTATTTATAGTCTTCGCACGGCGTTTAGATGAAACGGCCCAGGTGCAGGAGAGGCTGGCGAACATGCCTTACCGGCGATGCAAAAATAATTGCCGTGCCAGAAAAATGGTGCCTTGCACAAGCTGCATCCTTCTGTGGAGGCTGAGCAAAAGCCCCACGCGTCGAACACAAGCACTATTTGTGCCGGGCTGATTTGGGTTGATACGACCAGTTGTGATTGCATTCAGCTGCCGTCGGCAGTCGCAGTGTCATTGGGACTAACATGATGTGCATGTATAGGATCCCTGGAAACGATGCTGGTCAGGCATATATCCTAGGTGCAAGAATTAAGCCAGCACTTGTGGTGGTAATGGAGTGATTCTCTGGTGAAGAGCTAGCAACCGACTGCAAGCACTACACCTACAGTAATCGAGGCAGAGCATATGTGCAGCTATGGAGCCACTGGCAGACATGTTGACTTTTTCGAGCACTGCACTGGGGCAGGCTGTTCACCACTGCTGCACTGCACAACAGCATGATGGCTATATGTGTACGCCTGAGCCCATTTACCAAGGCCACACAGTCCATGGTACGGGGTATTATCCAGTTGCCAGAGCAAGCACAGGCCACTGGAAAATGTGATCCGAATCGTTATTGATGTGCACAGCCTGTGGGAATACCACATGAATCTGGGTATTTACAGCATGCCGCGTGCGTACCAGTAGCATCTGTTTAATTCGCTTTCGCACATGTGCTGCACAAATTCACAAGATATCCTCACGCACCCTTTGGTTGAGAGGACGTCGCTTCAGTTTGGCTACGCAGAGGCAGGAGAGTTCCCTGATGGTCTCAGCAAAGCACCCGCTTGAACTCTCCCTTCCCCTCGCATTAAGAAATAGCAGGCATCATTGGTTCTTTCTGGCTTGTCTTTTGCAGGTGCAAACTCGAAGAGCAGCTCGTTCAAGGAGGCAATCACCTGCCGGGAGCTGTGATCCTTGGGCTGAGCCATGGGGCGCCTATGCATGTCTCTGCCTATGGGCTTGGCATCGATGGATGAAGGCTGTCCTCCATCTTGAATGCACGTTGGGTTCAGCTGGTTGGTGTAACAGCCAGGTGGCTGATTGGCCGCGAGATCTCCGAGACGCGCTATGCAGGCTTAATGGGTGGGGCCATACAGGTCACGCTTTGGGCTTGGCTTCTCAAAATAGACCACCGCCGCTGCCTGGTGACTATCCCAGTCTATTTTCCCCCAAAGAGTTTCACTCCTCTCTCTTCCTCTGCTGTAGAACTCCAATATTTCCCCCCTTTAACCCCCTCCTCCACACCGCCGAAGGCCTTGTCCTTCTTCCCCTCACTTTTCTTTCGTATTGCACCTTTTATTACACACTTCCACACGCCTTTTTACATACAGACGACACAATATGGACGAGTACGTGCCTTTTGCGTCAACCTCCCTGGTTGCAATGGCCACTGGAATGCCAGCACTTCCCACTGAGACATACGCGTCAGTCGAGGGCACAGGCATGGGCATGGCGTCAGACTCGCTGCTGGCGTCGATTCTGATGATTTTCGTGTCTGAAATTGGCGACAAGACATTCCTTATTGCGGCAATTCTGGCAATGAGCAATCCGCGGTTGACGGTGTTTTTGGCGGCCTGCTCGGCGCTCTGGCTGATGTCAGTGCTGTCGGCGTTCCTGGGCCACACGGTGGTGACGTTTGTGCCCATGTCGTGGGTGTCGCTGATGGCTGCCGTCATGTTCTTGGTGTTCGGCGTCAAGCTGCTGCGCGAGGCGGGCGAGATGGACGGCAGCGAGATCCACAAGGAGATGGAGGAGGTTGAGGCCGAGCTCAACGAGAAGGACACCAAGGCGTCGCAGATGGCCATGGAGGCCGGTGAGTCCGGCAGCGAGAAGAAGCCTGACGATTCGTTCAACGTCAATGTTTCGGGCGACGAGGACGACCAGGAAAAGACCTCTGGCGTGCTCGAGTCGCTCAAGAACCTGCTGAGCCTGCTGCTGTCGCCGCTGTTTGTCGAGACGTTTGTGCTGGTATTCTTGGCCGAGTGGGGAGACCGGTCGCAGCTGGCGACGATTGCGCTCGGCGCGGCCAAGAACGTGTATGCGGTAAGCATTGGCACGATTCTGGGCCACACGTGCTGCACGGGGCTGGCTGTGGTCGGTGGGCAGCTGCTGGCGTCGCGGATATCGGTCAAGAAGATCACGTATGCTGGAGGCGTCCTGTTCATCATCTTTGCTGGCCTCTATGGCTACGAGGCGTATCACCCCGACAGCGCCATTGCCATGTAGACGAGCCCTGCATCCAACAAAATGTTTTTATGTTCAAAAAATGTCCATTCAACACTACTTTGGGCAGTAGAATGCGGTGTGCTTTTCGACCTCGCGCTTCAGGTCGCCAAGACTCAGTGCTTGGCAGCCGATCTTGTCACGCAGCGCAAACTTGCAGCTCTTGTAAGATGAGGCTCCACAGCGTGGCAAAGTCCTTATGCGCGCGGAAGATCTGGCGCTCCTTCAGTGCAGCAATGATGAGCTGCTTGGCCGTGCTCTTGTTCTGCTCTTCGACGTCCTTGTCGGGCTTCGCCTCGGTAGCTGTCGCTGGTGGCGGGCTTGTCTGCGGCTCGCTGACGCCCTGGGCAAACTGCTCGATATCGGCCAGCGTCATGCGTGATTTGCGGCGAGTGGTGGTGCTGGGCTGGCGCTTCACGGCGCGGCTCTTTGCCTGCGCAAGTTTCTGCTGCTCGCGCATATGCTGCTGCTGCGCATGCCATATAAGGAACTTGCGCTCGCTGGCCAGACTCGGCAGCTCACTGTCAGAGATCGCTGTGTCGGCCGGAATTGCGGACGGCGCAGCGCTCAGCATGTGCAGGGTTAGCTGGCCGTTTTCCAGATACACAATTCCGTAGGGCTGGCCGGCGGCTGCCTCTGGGCATCGAGCTGGTCGCTGCTGCGTGTGCCTCGGTGCGCACATATACCGCAGCATCCGGCACCGGGCCGTGAGAGATAAGCATGGAGACCAGGCCGTTGATGTATCGCTGCGACGCCTGGTCGGATGCTGTGAGGAAGAGATGGAAGTGCACGCTGCTCAGGAGCATTGGCGGGATCGAGGATATGGCAACAGGCGACAGTAGCCGGAGCGAGTGTGCGGTGGGCCAGAGTGGCCTGGACAGGCGCTTTGAGGAGCAGTTGACCAGGGACGCAGTCACACTCGTCTCGCCGGGTCCGTGGTCGAGCGTGCCTTGCCATACAAGCTGCTGCTGCTGTCTGTGTACTGCCGAAAATGCCATGGAATGCTTGGAGTTACTTGGAACGCGGATATTAGAGATTTTTTGTTGGGAGCATCAGCGGCAAAAAGACTCTGGAGATAGTTTTCGAGCTTACCAAGGAACTTTTATGGCGCTGGAAGGGTAGAAAAGGCAGGGGTGGCATGTGCTTGAGAAGAATCCCCTAGCTCTCTTTCGCTTCCTTTTCGCTTTATCTGACTTTTCAAACTTTTTTTTCTTATCGAAACTGAATTTCCAAATGAACTCGCTCCCACATAGGCTCGCTGGGCTCCGTGCTCTCCAGGGACTCCGCTCCACAGCCGGCTCGTCCGAGGTCGCCGTCCTGTCCAGCCGCAGACACCAAAGCTCATTCTCATCGTCGTCGGCCGAGGTCGCACAGGACGAGACCGCCCAGCCTGCCACGCAACCAACGCCCGAGCGGCTCCAGCAGCAGCTCAAGACACGCACCAGGAACGGTGTCCCGGCCCGAATGCTTATCCTCGGAGCACCGGTAAGTTGTTTTCCGTTTGCTTTATCCATGTGACTGTCTTTTGCATTGCCCATGCATGCTCACGCCCCCTTTTCCACCGGATCCAAAAACAGGCTAATCTAGCGAATCATTTTTAGGGAGCCGGCAAGGGCACACAGTCGGGGCGGATTCGCGGGTTCTACGACATTGCGACGATATCGAGCGGCGATGTGTTGCGGCGCAATATCGCCGAGCAGACAGCAGCGGGCATGAAGGCCAAGGAGGCCGTGGCTCGCGGCGAACTTGTCTCTGACGCCATTATCGTCGAGCTGATCCGCAGCGAACTGACCACGGTCAGCGCCAACTGGATGCTGGACGGCTTCCCGCGCAACATCACCCAGGCACAGGCGCTTGACCACATGCTGACAGAGACTGATCAGCCGCTCAACTCGGTTATCAACCTGGCGGTGCCCGAGGATGTCATTCTTCAGCGCATCGTCGAGCGGTATGTGCACGTGCCGTCGGGCAGAGTGTACAATCTGACGTATAACCCGCCCAAGGTTCCGGGCCGCGACGATGTCACCGGCGAGCCGCTGGAGCACCGCCCCGACGATAACCCAGAGTCATTCAAGCGCAGGCTTGACCAGTACCACCAGCTGACTGAGCCGCTGCTGGAGTACTATGACAAGCGCGGAATTCTGTCGACATTTGCGGGTGCGACGTCTGATGTCATTTTCCCACAGATCAGGGCGTTCCTGGACGAGCGCTTCGAGTGAAGCGAGAACTCCCTCTGAATGCCATGCAGCAGACGTCTCCAACTTTGTTATCTGCGAGTTCATTTTGAAATTCCATACATCTTATCCAGAAACACACCTCTGAATGTCCGTCGGATGTGCTGTGAGCAGGGCCGGGCTAAACGGCGATTGCTGCTGACCATACGGCAAAGCATGGTAGTCTATATCGACAGCGATGCTGGCGTGAATCAACACATGTATGTATCGTTTAATGGAGGCGAAAGCAGTCAAAGGAGAGTGGTGGGAGGTGAAATAACGTAAAGAAATCGAGACATCTCACATAGAGATGTGCATGATCAGTCGTGTTCGACAGCCGTAGACTCGCCTCGGTCCAGCGCGAGTCCGAGCTATTCTCTTTTGGGATAAACAGCCCGTAGTCCTCGTCGCCGTCGTGCAGGATGGTCATGGACGCGAATTTCTCAAACGGATCAGCGCCCTTCTTGGATGGGTCCGATAGCCACAGGTTCTCGCGCTCAATGTCCAGCGACGTGGACTCGCGCCCGCGCCCGCGCTTGTGCGAATCCTGCGACGGCTCGTATGTCAGTGCAAACTGCAACAGCTGCTGCTTCTGCGGGTCAGCCAGCGGCAGAATCGGCGGCGTGCGGTTGCGCAACAGCGCCCAGCTCAGCGACTTGAACCACGGGTGCTGCTTGACGTCTGCCGCGCCTGCGCGCGATCCAAGCCGCTTCTTGTCGTTCTTTGTCAGCAGCCGCCGCACCAGCGCCTTGCACGGTGCTGAGACTGCCTGGTGCGTGGGCGGCTGCAGGAATATCACGTCCGACTTCAAAATGTTGCTGAATGTTGCGTTGCGGTTGGAGCCCTTGAACGGCGTGCTGCCATACAGCATTTCGAATATCAGAATGCCTAATGTCCACCAGTCGACCGCGCTCGAGTGTCCAACGCCCTTGATCACCTCGGGCGCAATGTACTCTTCTGTGCCGACAAACGAGTTCGTACGCAATCCGGCTGTGCACGATCGCGTGTCTATCGACGGCAGGCTGAAGAAGAACGACGAGTTTTTGAGCACGTTCGGGGTGCCTGGCGGGTCCGACTGCTTCGACAGGTCAAAGTCCGTCAGCATGATGTGGCCCGTCTCATGCAGTAGAATATCTAGATTGCGTCAACAAGTTAGAGAATGGATACGGCGAGCAAAACACACCGGGCAAACGCAGTACTGGCTACGTCAAGGCAAGGCTTCCAGACACTTACTCTCTGGCTTGAGGTCTCTGTAGATGAATCCGGAGAGATGCAGGTATTCGAGAGCTACAAAGCAGAGTGCGAAAAAAAATTAGCCACACTGCCAGCTCAATGAGGGAGGGAGCAGAGCACAACAAAATAGCAGCGGACTGACGACATGCGAGGTTCCGACAAAGGGGAAACAGCACGCCTGAACAATACCGACTTTCCCAATATTACCCTCATGGTTGGAGATACATTACCACATGTTACCTCGGCCGCGTAGAATTTGGCGTCCTCCTCGGGCAGACACTTTCCGGGCCGCGACTGCAGGACACGGAAGAACTCGCCGCCTATGCAGTAGTCCATGCAAAAGTACAGGCGCTCGTCGCTCTGGAACGAGTGGTACAGCGTCACAATGAAGGGGAAGTTGGCCGTGGCCAGTATCTCCTGCTCGGCCAGCACGCGCTTAATTTTGTTGCGCTTGACCATCTCGGCCTTGGACAGCACCTTCATTGCGTACAGCTTGCCCGTCTCCTTCTGCCGCACCAGGTACACCTTGCCGACGTCGCCCTTGCCCAGCAGCTTGATCTTGGTGAAGCTCTTGGGTCCCACCGAGATCTTTTGCACCTTCATCGAGTTGCTCGAGTATGTCCGCCGGATCGCTGCCGCGCCCGACCGCGTCAGTGGCCGGCTGCCGCTGGCCGATGCGGGCGCCGTGTGTGTCGTGAACTGGCTGCGAACGCTGCCCGGGCTCTCCATGCTGTCCCCGTACGCGGCCCGGTCTCCGTGCAGACTACGCATGCTGCTGTTGTTGCTGATGCTTATCGTGAAATTGTTTGCAGTCTTTGTTGTCAGCATGTTGCCAGCCACCGAGCTCGCCTTCTTCAGCTGATGGTGTTGTTGTTGCTGTTGTTGTTGTTGTGGGCCAGCGGACGACTTTGGTAGGCCGATTGGTGCCAGCGACGTTGCGACGTGGATGCCGGTGTCGACTTGGATGTGCTGAGGTATGCCGGGACGTTGCTGGTGCTGCTGCCAAACCCGCTGGTGTGTGCCTTGACGGGCATGGTAACTGTGCCGTGGTCGACCATATCCACTTTGTTACGGCAGGAAAACAGGGCGCGAGATATGTAAAACCGACTGCTGAGAGCAGAAAGTAGAGAAAAAAAAGTATGGCGGGGATGGAGAAGAGAAAGAAAAGACGAGCCTTTTTCCACTCAAATATGGAACAGAGCTGCTATGTTTCAAAGGACCGTGTGTGTTGGTCCTGAACAGTGATTGATGCTGCCGGTATCCGCGCTGTTGTTGTTTGGCTCCGTTTTGTCTGAACCGAAAGTGAAGCCCCAGAACAAGACACCGCTCCTTCACGTATATATGGGTGAGTCGGACGGCTGATATAGTACTGAGAGAATGAGCAGAGAGGGGCGAAAAGGGGAAGGGAGGGAGAGACCACAGAGAATGGCTGGTGGGTATTTTTGTAGAGAAAGAACAGGAACAAAAAGCTGCGTTAGAGAAAAAAGAGGCAGGAGGGTTAAGAGCAGGCGAGAAGGCGATGCTCACAGCACACAGGCCTCAAAGAGCTGCCTTTCGTTCCCATCGACTCTAATTGGGCAGCAGCGACACCACTCGAGCACCCTGCCCCCAAATCACCCCATGAGCGGCCTTGTGTCTCAGTTACTCGGGTGCAGAGACGCATGGGATCTCGCAATTGATGCACGCTCGGCGCCACAGACCGTCGTCCAGGAGGGCGCGAGGCTTGAGGCCCGTCTGCCGCTCTGCGTCATGTACGTGTTTATTGCCTGCCAGAATCGACGTTCCAGCACACAGCATTGTCCGGCCCGTCTGTCCTCCGCGCTGCTTTTGGGCGGGCTCAAGTGCGCTGGCGAGCCATACTCGCACACAATCGGAGGCTGGTGCTAATTGCGGGCCTTATTGGCCCACGGGAAACGCGCCCAGCCCAGGAACTCTCTGAAGCTTTAATTCCCTCTCTTCGCAAAAGTATCCTGTTGCCCGCTCCCAATCATGTACTTTGGCCGATCGCAGATTCACACGCCGATTCCAGCCGCCCCTGAGTCGCTGGGCAGGCTCGTCGACAGCATCTTTGGTTCGCGCAGCACATCCGCCGCCGAGTCGCGTCGCGACAGCCCGCGCGCTACTGCCAGCCGCGCTTCAGAGACGGCGCCAGAGTAAGTCGCCCAGCTGCTGTGGCACTGTTTTGTTTCCCCCCCATTGGTTGGGCCACAATGGGGAGGCGACATGGGATTGAGACGATTATTTGCCGCTGCTCCGTTGTGCATTTGCTAATGAACCCGAGAGGCGCTTTATATCGCCATTGGGATATTGTAGGCGCATTCCAGACCAGCTGGTGCCGGCGGTGCAAAGGTAGGCTGGTGGCTATTGTCAGCGCCTGCGGGATTACGCTTCAGTCCTTGCCTGCAAAGGAGGGCGATCACCGCGCTCCTGCTTCACACACGCATGGATTCCAGCCATTGGCCCCTCCGCACACTGCTAAAGAAATCAGCTGCAAAGCCGGTTAAAAATAGGTTCGAGGCGAGGTGGACCACCACCCAACGGCGACACAACCAGACCATGCACAAGTGCCAGGCAAGTTGTGTTGCTGCAGGACCGTCTGATGGGCGTGGAGGCTCGCAGGCCGTGCAGAGCGAGTGCTGATTCATGCAACCGTATGTAGGAAATCGACCAGCAGATCCGCCGTGTCATTGATGCTGCGCAGCGACACGGGGATGCTGCGCGCCGGGCCACAGCCGAGCTCGAGCTATTGGCCGACACGCAGGGCCAGCTCAGGGCTGTCGAGACTGCGGCGCGCGAGCTGCAGCCGGCCATTGCCGCCATGGAGGAGGTGTACACGGCGCTGGCCAACTCGAGCACAGCGTGGGTTGATGACCTGGCGCGCCCAAGAGTCCGAGTACAAGCAGTCGCGCCACGAGCACTACGCCCAGCTGCAGCAGCAGATGGACCGCCAGTATGCGGAGCTGAGCCAGGAGACCGCTCAGCGGCGGGCTGCCGATGCATCGCTCGGGTTCCAGCGCGATCTCGGAGCGCTTCCAGAAGTCGCGCCCGCCAACGCCAAGGCTCGGCAGACAGGGTCAGCATCTTCATTTCACAGCCCTCCCTTGGCACAAACACAACCACTCTCAGAGCAAGGGAGGGCCAATTCTTGGTATCCTACGGTTACGCATGTTTACTAAGCACCGAGGACTTCCACTTGTAGCAGGCAGCCGCCCAGACCTCGGCAGCGTTGCCGCTAGCGACAGACTGGGATGCAGACTCGCAGGGATTCTTCAGCGACGATGAGATCGACAGCAGCGCCTCGGCAGCTGCCACACCAAGACCGAAAATGCTGGGAAAATGCTGTCGCAGAGCGCAAGGCGCCAGCACCAGCAGTAGCAGCAGCGCCAGCAGCAGCACCAGCAGCAGGCAAGGTAAGCATTTCTAGAGATTGCAATAACAACTCCATCGGGTTGGGAAGTTATCCCAGAAATCCTGCGCAGACTCTTGGCGCACAGCTCAAGATCAATCGCCTTTGTCCACTGTAGCCGGAAACCGACGCTCCCGCATTTGTCATAATCGGGGACGAGGACTTCCCCTGAAGCGGCGCTCGGGCGTGCGTGCCCAACCAGCAATTTAGCCAGAAAACACGTGAGCCAATTTCAGCCCACCAGCCAGCCAAGCATTGCCAAGAGTCAGGTCTTGGCACTGGCAATTATTTTTATGCACTCTTTCCGCAAGGCTAGCAGGCGCGGAGAGCAGCAAGGCACACGCCCACCTCTTTTTCTCTGCCCCACTTTTTCCAGACATATTTTTCCACTTATAAATACTCTCAAAGTAAACCACCCACGGCTTCTGGGAGAATACAGCGTTTTTCCCTATTGGCCTTTATTCCTCTCTACAACAACAACAACCTCCATCTTTATCTCCCGTGTTCAGCAACAGCATATATAGCAACATACACACGATGAGCGACGACGGCATGCTTTATTGCAAGTGGGAGAGCTGCACCATCACCGCCTTCCACGACCCCGAGACGCTTTACGCGCACATCACCAACGACCACGTCGGCCGCAAGTCCACCGGCAACCTGTGCCTCGAGTGCAAGTGGGAGGGCTGCCATGTCAAGCGCACCAAGCGCGACCACATCACGTCGCACATCCGCGTGCACGTGCCGCTCAAGCCCTTCAAGTGCCCGCTGTGCCCAAAGTCCTTCAAGCGTCCGCAGGACCTGAAGAAGCACGAAAAGACACACTCGGAGGGCCTGCACGCCGACGAAACCACGCCGCAGATGTACGGCATGGACTACCAGTACTTTGCCAGCCAGATGCACACCCCGGCCCAGACCAACTCGTCGCCGACCGTTGGCTCCCTGAGCCCTGCCGACGGCCAGGTGCCCATCGACCTGATCGGCCACAGCGGAGGTAAGCAGAGCAGCCCCGCCAGCCTGTCTGCGATAGCCACGGCGCTATTTTTAGCCGATTTCCAAAGCAACACCGCGCATCACAACGACATCACTTTACTAAACATGAACGTCACTTTTGTGTTTGTAGCACACTTCCGCCGCAACTCGCCGTACACGCCCACAAACGTCTCGCCGCTCCACGGATACGTGCCGCACATCCCCGACACGCAGTACTACCCGAACAGCATGGCCCACGGCAAGCGCGGAATCGAGGCGATCGAGCAGTTCCAGCAGACGGTCAAAAAGTGCCGCACCGATGAGACTAGTCAAGGTTTGGATTGTCTTGCACATGCTGTTGGTCTACGAGAAAAGCATGGCTGCCCTGCTGCCCTGCCTCCTGCTAACAATGCCAATTTTGCTGATGCCGACGCTGCTACCAGCGCCAGCAGCGCCCTGTACCCCACTTCTACTCCACCATCCCCCCATGTGCTGCCTCCCATCTCTCCCAAATCGCACTCGCACTCCCCCCAACTCCCCTCGCTCTCTGAGTACCGCATTACGCAAAAGAACCTTGCTGCTGTTGCTGCTGTTGCTGCTGTATCATCCCCTCTGCAAATCACCACCACCACAACACATACCACCCCACAGTCGCCATTCCCTCTGGCTGCCAGCGAGCCGGCAAAGACCTGCTCGCTGCCATCGCTCAGCCAGTCGTTGTCCTCGCTCGACACGCCCCCGGCTCTGTCTGCTGCCAGCAGCTGGAGCTCGGAGGCGTCGATGGGCGCGCTGTTCCCGCCGCTCCCGCGGCACTCGACAGCCCGGTCCTCGACTTTCTCGGCCAAATACAGCCTGTCCTCGGCCAGGACCCGCTGAGCCACGGCGGCTACTATGCGCGCAAGTCGTCGCTTAGTCTGTCCCCGCTGTCTCGCTCTCTGGCGCATTACCATACCCCGATCTCCGACCCGCTTGGATCGTTCGCGACCAGCGACTACGGGATCTGACACTCTGCTCTCCAGCTAAAGTGGGTGGTTTACACTTAAGCTTATTTCTGCATTTCCCCCTCGCTTCGTTTCTTATTTCTCACTTCATTTTTTTCTCATTCCCTTTCTGCGTTGGCCTCCCCTCTCGTGCTCTGTGGTTGTGTAGAAGTGGTCTCTCCCTCTCCCCTCTATCCTCTATTTCTCTTCCCTCTCGCGTTGTAGCAATATCAGCAGCAGCAGCAGCAGGCAGTTGGCGGCCCTGTTTTTGGGATTCCCAAAAGCACTTTTCTCTGTAGTGCCATTTAGCGGCTATGTGTATTGCAACTCCATTCCGATTCTTATCTCCTGCATCTGTCACTTGTGCTCCCCTTCTCGCATATCCCATGTTACTCGACTTATTCCCTCTATTTCCCCACGTCCTTACACACGTCTCTACCTGTTCCATATAGCTCTTCAGTTTCCAATAGCATCATCTGTTTTTGCTCTCAGCATTGCACACTGTTTCTCACCTGGGGAGGGAAGGGCAGCTATTGTCACTGCAGCGACTCTTGGCACATACACACTCGTCACCAGACAACAGTGAGTAGAAGGGAGCTTCTTGGCGAAGGTCTTGGCATTTCGTAATTATTGACCGGCATGCGGCAGCAGATATACGAGGCAGGCATTGGCTCGGCGGCAGCCATGCTTTTTTTTTTTGTTTGAACTCGTCTGGCCAACACTCCATGCATATTGGCTCATATCTGCGATGCACGCATACTAACCCGCCTTGTCCTCCAACTGCTCTTCATGTATAGGTCAGGACCAGCTGTACTCGTTCCTGCAGCAGTACGACGCCAACAACCTGAACTTTAGCGAGCTGCCGGCCTCGCTGCAGTCGGCCACTGAGATCAAGCAGCTCAACGAGGGCCTGCTGCAGCTGCTGCCCGACCTGACCGAGGTCGGCGGGCGCTCGATGTTCATCGACCAGCTGATCAAGCAGCTCGACAGCTCGAACCCGAGCGGCCTCTACGACATGTTCTCGCTGGGCAACAATCTGCAGGCCGGCCCGAGCCCCGATCCACTGCTGTCGTCAGCGTCGTCGGGCGGCATGTACGCCGGCTTGAGCGCGCCAGGCGCGATGCCGCCACCATGGCCGCATCCACCGGCTTTGCCTTCGATCTGACTGCCAGCCCCGAGGGCAGCGCCGGGTTGAGCACGGCCCTGCCTCTGGCAGCCAGGTCATGGTCGACGGCAGCGGCAACGTCGTGCCACTGCCCAACCCGACGCTCAACGACCTGGCGCTGGGCGCGGTCAACCCGGCGTCTCGAGCACCGGCTCGGCGCTGTCTGATGGCAGCACTGGGTCCATCAGCGTGGTGCCTGACTCGGTGACCACAGCGCGCCCGATTGCGCGCCCCCGCGGCTACTCCAACGCCCAGGTAGCGCCGCACCCGCAGAACACGTCGCTGTACTCGCAGCTGTACACGCCGGCTCAGCTGCAGCAGGCGCAGCAGAAGGCCATTGCCGACAGCCTGATGAGCACCAACCCGTACCTGCAGCGCCAGCGCGCCGCCGTGCCGCAGGCCCAGGTCGTCGACCCGGCCATGCAGCAGGCGCACCTGAACACGCTGATGGCGTACCGCGCCATGGGCCTGCAGTGCAAGGCGCCGGAGGACGAGGATGCGGAGGACGAGGATGCGGGCAAGGAGGTTTCGCTCGATGAGTGGCTCGACGCCGAGAAGCTGACCGACCTCGAGATCGCCGGCACCTCCGACAAGACTGCGGCGCCGACCAGCAGCAGCCAGGCCATGGATGTTCTGCCGACACCCGTGGCTACGCCCGCTGCTGCTGCCGTCGCTGCCTCGGAGGTCGACGAGCCTGAGCTCGAGGACACCGAGGAGAGCGAGCGCAGCTTTATTGCCAAGAACGCCGATGTCAAGACATCAATCCTGGTGCAAAAGTCGTACGCCAAGCGGTCTGTCGCTGTCGGCAACACCTCGGACGAGCCCGTGTCGTACCTGCGCCAGCGCGCTGGCATGGTTGCCGACCAGCCGAGGGAGGCTGTGCAGCAGCAGTCGGCGCCTGCCATGGACCGCCGCCAGCTGCTCGATGTTGCCGCCAAGCTGCTGACCCGGATCAACACGCTGTATCTGCAGAAGCTCAAGGAGGAGAGCAGCAATGCAGCTGTGCATGACCACGACGCCAGCGCCGGCGAGGAGGAGGATGACGACCTGGCAGAGCTGGAGAACGAGCTCAGCGCCATGGGCCTGGACGATGCCCCCGAGAAGGAGGAGGTGGCAGCAGCCAGCAGCAGATCATGGACCGTCTGGCCAAGCTGAGCCTGGCGCCGTCGCAGGTCAATGCTTGAGCAGCGAACTAAAATGGACCATGCCACCATCCTGCTTGCTTGTCCCCTCTCAACATCCGTCAACACATTTTAAACTGTTCTCCCCTTCTATTTCACTCACTCATCATGTTCTATATATTTGTTTGTTGCCTCCTACATGCATCACCAGGTGCTGATGATGTGCTACATACAATGTCGTATGCTATGCCATTAATAACTATTGCTAAACTTAGAGAGAAAGGGATGCTAGCTCGTCGGCGGCCTTGGTTACCTCGTCAATGTCCATCGCCTTGAGCATCATTGCCTTTGCATCCATCTTCAGGTGCGGGCCGCAGTTCAACATGGTATCCCACAGAAGCTTGACATCCTCAACCGACTGATCCAGCTCGCGGGTCCACTCGCTCAGCAGACAGCCGGACTGCCAGTGTTTTCAATGCCTTCTTGCACCGGCGGATCTGGCGCAGCAGGATGCTTGTCACAATCACCATGCTGATGAACGAGCTGGACTCGTACCGGTCGACCGGGATATCGCTGTTGCTCCGCAGCGATCCAGCCAGAGAATGTGCCGACCAGACGCACACCTTCCATGACTCGGGCTCGGTATCGTCAGCAACCAGTCCCTGCCCCACACCACCAAATGCTGCCTTGAAGGCCTGTCGGAGCGCATGCTCCTTTGGATCGGCCATACCATCCTGATCGGCCAGTAGCTCGGGCGGACGGTCAAACTCGGTGAAGAACGAGCGGCGGTTGGCTGAGTGCAGGATGATTATGGCCGAATATATGTTGCACTGTAGGGCCAGACAGCGCAGCCGCAGGGCATGCTGGGCGTAGTCTGCATCGCCAAACCTTGCAGCTGGGTCGCCGAACCTGCAATGGTCCTCGTGCAGCGACTCGGGTTTCTTGACGCGGTCGAGCAGGGACGCGCAGTTTCTGGTCGCAGATCTGGAACTCGGCATACTCGGAGACGACCTCAACATTGCGGCTTACTGCAATCACCAGATGCTCGGAGCCTGGCGTTGGGCTCAGGAAGTCGACAGCGGGAATGGCCGCTCCGCCAGGTCTTCCTCGGTCGATCTTGGCAGCCTTGGCATTGTACAGGAACCTGGCGATCCGGCTGTCAACCGCAATCAGTTCACAGAGCAGCGCAAACGAGTGCGATATTGCTCCAGTGACAGCCGTCGGGTCGGTAGGCTGGGTGCTGGTGCTGGTGCTGCTGCTCTGCGACTCGACAGATTTCTCCCTGCGCCGCTCAATTCGTGCCGATGGGGACAGCGGGAAGTCGACGTCTATCCACTCCGAGTCGGCACACGGCGACCGCACATACATCACCGACTCAGGAATCATGGCTGGGCGGCCCTGGAAAAACGACGATTGAAGTCGCCGTGGATGATACACCAGAAGGTCCTGCGCTTTGTCTCTGCATCGACCCACTCGTCCCAGGTCTTCGCCTTCTTGGTTTTGTACAGGTCGATCTCGTGCCATCCCAGTTTGATAATGGTGCCAATTGCCACCGACATCAGCGCCGAGAACGACGTTGCTCGCTCATGGCGCATCTCGGTAATGTAGAGAAAGAAGACGGCATGAATCACATCGATTGTCGGGGTCTCGATGGCAAATAGGATGCGCGCCTTGACGTTATCGATAAGCTGCTGCGCGTCAATGTGGTTGTAGGCACCTGACTTGATATACGGAGCTGACAGGGCTTTGATGATGTCGATGAGGAGCGGATTGACGTCGCCAGCAACAACTCGTCGGATAAATGTGGACGGATGGAAAACGGGCAAAAATGCGTAGATGTAATCAAAGAACGCCAGCAGTGCCTCTCGTGTGTCGGCGTCCACCTTGTCCGAGAAAAAGTCCTCGACCAGGGATCCAATCGGCGGTGGAGCGACGATTCCTTCCGACAGGCTGCTGCACTCAGACGCAGGTGTGTTTGGTTCGGCAACGACAGTCTTGCCCGGCGACAGCGCTTCAGAGCCAACTGACTTTTCTGGGCTGCTGTCGCGCACGCTATTTGGCTTGCTAGTGTCAGGGGCCAAGAGGTTCGACAGATCTGCGGCAGAGGGCTTGTGCTTGATTGTCTTCTTCACTGGCTGCGCGGCGGCTGATATCTGGGCGTGGGTCCTGGGCTTTGGTCCACGCCGCTTCATTTTCCGCCATTGGCACCGGATGTCCCTCTTTGTGCAGCTGTTGCAGGGGTTGCCACCCTCACACTTTATACGCTTCGAGTGGCACCAATCGCATGCCTGGGTCCGCCTCTGCTTACGCACCAGCCCTGCTGAATCGGCGCTCGTCCTGGGGTGGCTGGTTGGGGATGTTTGCGGGGCACCCGTCTTTTGCATAAACAGATAGGGCATGGCATATCCCGGTATCATGTCACTAGCGTAGGGGTGGTGTCGGTAGTCTGCTGCTAGCGTCTCGAGCTCAACCGCACTGCACCGGTCGGTGCAGCAGGTTGTCTGCCAGATGAGCCCTGGGCGGATGCTGATGCTGATTCTGGTTCTGGATTTGGTTCTGGCTCTGGTGCTGTAGCATGGGCGACTGCCTGAACTCTGCCACTTTATCCGCACTATTCGCGCGGCGGCGGGGTATCGATTCATTCATGTCAAATGGTGGTGGTGGTAGTGGTGGTGGTGGAGAGTATTGCTCAAAGTGGGAGTGGAAAATTTTGCGTGTGAAAGAGGAGAAAAGGGGGAGTGCGGGGAGAAGATATACGCCCGGACTGATGCATGCCGGTTTGAAGAAGCTAAAAAAAAAAAAAGCGTACTATGCGGAATCATACACATCGTGGTGGCGTCAGCCATGCGTGCCTGAACTTTTCAAGAACATTAGCAACTGGCTGCTATTTATAAGAGTGAAAATTCGAAAATCAGCGTGTGCCGTGGACCTCCGTTGTGGTGGTCGCTTTTGCAATATCCATTGATAGCAGCATGTCGGTCATGTCGGTTGTCGTCCATATCAGGTTGAAGCCCTGTAGTTTCCTCCACAGCACCCGTGTTTCCTCAACGCACCGCTCTAGCTCCTCCTGCCACTCTTCCAGAGACATTTGGGAGTCCCTGCCGGTCCCAAGTGCAGTCTTGCATATGTTTATCTGTCGCAACAGCACGCTCGATACAATAAACAGGCACTGTGCGGACGCATATGTGATGCGGGTGTGCGGAAGATCGCTGTTGCGCTCGATGAATCGCGCAAGCTTGTGTGCATATTCGACACACACCTTCCATGACTCGGGCTCAATGTCGTTAGCCAGCAGGCTCTGGCTCCAGGTTGCACCGAACCGCTTCTTGAGCAGCAGACGCTTTCTCAAGTCATCAGGGCTCATGCTCTCGGGCTGCATTTCGGGCGGGCAATCGAACTCGGCGAAGAATGACTGTCGGTTCGACGAGTGCAGCAGGATGAGCACGGCGCAGACAAAGCATTGCAGTACCAAGTACCGAACACGC